TCTCTCTCTCTGGTTACTTCTACTCCCTATATGCAGCTAGGTCTACATGGAAGATGTCTCATAGCTTTTGTATCTCAACATCTTGTGATGACAAAATGCAACCCAGGTGTGTGGAATATTATTTTAAGATGTGTTATATTTGTGCTGTAGAACATTTGTTTTAATGATGCAAAGATGTGTTGCAATTTTTTATGTTGCATTTGTTTAACTCTGTGAAGCTGTGATACATTTCCTGTCTAAAATTGATCTAATAAAAAGATGAATAGAAAATAGCTCAGCAGAAAAAAATAGGCAAGGCTGCCAGTCAGAGACAATAAATGGGAGAAGAAATAGGGGGTAAAAATAAAAACAAGTAGCAACAAAAAAAGGACACCGGGGTACAGCCATTCATCTACACAGCAAGCAATGGAGTAAGAAGTAAAGAAAGGTATACATAATAGAGAAAGATAAAAGTGCAGAGCCAGGGTTGGGGATTTAGATCACTGGTAGAGTGCTTGCCTAGCAAGCAAAAGGACCTGGGTTCGGTCCTCAGCTAAAAGAAAAAGGGCAGAGCCAAAAGCTAGTTGGAATCATTTAAGGCGAGAAAAGCTGGCTAGAAAAGAGCCAAGTTAAGGCCAGGCAATTATAAGAAAGAATAAACCTTTGTGTGTGTGATTTATTTTAGAACTGGAGTGCAGGCAATCAAGAGAGTAAAGAGTTAGAAAAGAATAAAAAACACCAGGCTTCATCCTCACAACTTCATGCAGTGAACCCTCCCAATCTCCTCCCTTGGTTTCTGTCTCTGCCAATCATAGATGCCTTCAAAAATGCTGAACTGTAAACAGAGGTTAAGAATCCATGATTTTAAATTTTTATTCTCTCTTGTTTCCAGGACAAGCAGAATGTATGGTATCCTGCAAACTTTGACTTCTTAATTGGGATGGACACTAACATGCGTGGACCACAGGTGAAGCAGGTTTTGAATGAACTTTTTTCCTGGGACTAGAAATCACTTTGCTTACTCATTTCATAACTTGAAACACTAGGGAAATATAGCATTAACCTTAGGACACCTTCCATTACCCTTGTGCTTCCATTTTCTGTATAGTGGTGATAAACTCTTTGAAAACCCTTGCCTGTTTCAGCAGTTCACTGCCCTCTGAAACTGCCTTCTCATCATCATTTGTTTCTGCCCCAGTTTTTTTCTTCCAATGCTGACCTGAATGACTCTATTATAACCCTCCAACAGATTCAATATTCCATTTAAGAAACTAGCCCATTATTTTTAATTCTGCATTAATAAATATCCTGGCCATTGACAGAATAAGAAATGATTTGGAGCTAAAA